TTTTTTTGGAGAGGTTTTTGCTATAGGGCACATGTGCTCGCTAGGGAGACAGAGAGAGACAGAGACAGAAAGCAAGAAATCACCCTCTAGGAGGGATGGCCACACCACAATCCCTTCTCCTCCATTCTCCTCTCAGGATCTTGGGCACACATGCACATGTGCCCAGTATGAGTTTAAGCCACCGGATCCAGGACTCGAACTGTGGTTGACTACATGGGAGTCCAGCAACATAGCCATTATGCCAACTGCTGGTCCCACATGTATATATTTTTTTTATTTTTGGAGAGGTTTTTGCTGTAGGGCACATGCGCTTGCCAGACAGAGAGAGAGACAGACAGACAGACAGAAAGTGAGAAATCACCCCCCAGAGGGGATGGCCACGCTGCAATCCCTTCTCCTCCTTTCTCCTCTTGGGATCTTGGGCATGCACTCACAGGTGCCTGGCGTGAGTTTTAAGCCACCGGGTCTGGGACATGAACCGCGGTTGACTACATGGGAGTCCAGCAACATAGCCATTACACTAACTGCTGGTCCCCCACGTGTATTTTTTATTTTGCTTTTATTAAGCTTTTACCATAGGGTGCACATGCTTGCTCGAGAGAGACAGAGAGAGGGAAGGTGAGAAATCACCCCTCAGGAGGGATGGCCAGGCTTCTACTTGTCCTTAACCACTGTGTCACCTCTGGCCCCACATATATTTCTTTTTTTTTTTTTTTTTGAGAGATTTTCACTATAGGGCACGTGCGCTCGCCAGACAGACAGACAGAGAGAGAGACATAGAGATAGAAAGCGAGAAATCACCCCCCGGGGGGATGGTCACGCCGCAATCCCTTCTCCATTCTCCTCTCGGGATCTTGGGCACACACGCACACGCGCCCGGCGTGAGTTTTAAGCCACCGGGTCCGGGACACGAACCACGGTCGACTACATGGGAGTCCAGCGACATAGCCATTACACTAACTGCTGGTTCCCACCCCCACATATATTTCTAACAAGCTCTTCTGGGCCAGCAGGTGGCGTGGAGGTTGAGGTACTGGATCCTATATGGCCAACTCTGCAGTTCGAGTCCCAGACCTGTAGCTTAAAAATCTTGGTAGAATATTCGAGGAGAAGGGGTTGTAGTGTGGCCATGGCCCCTCGGGGGTGATTTCTCTCTCTCTCTCTGGCAAGTGCACGTACCCCGTAGCACAAAAAGCTAAAACCCTTACAAAACACGTCTGTTAGTGCCCAGCCAGGTTGGGGAACCCTCTCCCTGTAGGTCTGCTTAGAGCAGCATTGTGGGGCTCTGCCGGCGACGTCAGCGTGTTTACCACACATGCACGCTGCAGCCGGTGCGAGGACGTCACGGGTGCCGGCCTTCCCACAACCCCACTGTCCCTCTCTTATTTTTATCCTGCATGAGGCAGGCAAGTGAAAAGTTATGTGGCTTGTCAGAGAGTTGGGGAGAGGGAGAAAGCACCCCCAATGGGGCATGTCTTGCTGCAGTCCCTTCTCCATTTTCTCCACTCTGTCGGGATTTGGCACATCCATGGACATATACACTCAGTCCAGGCTGAGGGGTTGCAGTCCTGACAGCAGAGGGCATGGGGGCATGTATGAGGGTAGGTGACAAAGGTCGGGACCAGCAGGTGGCATGATGGTTAAGGTGCTTGACTCTCCCACATGGGTGACCACGGTTCAAATCCTGGACCTAGTGCCTTGCTTTCTCACTTTACCCCTCCCTCCTCCCTCCCTCTCTCTCTCTCTGTATATCTTCCTCTGGTCAAATTAGAATGAATGAATTTTAAAAATTAAGTAATTATTATTTTTTTTAAAAAAGAATTACTTGTACACTTAGGATGTAGCAGAGCCTGTCCAGAACCCAAAGCTGGCTCACTTTCGGTCTATAACACCACCTGGCCTGCGTTGCTGGAAGCCCAGGCACTAGGCCCGTGGGTAGGGGCCTTTGAGTAGCAGGGCGCCCCTGCAGGAGGTGGCTCATGGAAGCAGTGAGTCGGGGGATGGGGGTGTGCACCAGGCAGGCCTGGAGCGCTGGCGGTCATCGGGCTGACCGGGCACATTGCTCGTCCCTCTCTCTGTGCAGAGGAGCTCATAGGCGTTTCACCCGCATCTCCAAAAGAGGCAAAGGTTCCTGCGGCCAGAACCTCCACGTTTTCTGAAGGGGGACTTGGCTCCCAGAGCCCCTGTGAAGAGAACCTGGTGACCACAGTGGCGCCCCCAGCAGAGGTGACTCCCTCAGAGAGCAGTGAGAGCATCTCCCTCGTGACGCAGATCGCCAGCCCCGCTACCACACGTGCGGCTCCGGTGCCACCCAGAGACTTGTCCCAGAAGTTGCTGGAGGCGTCTTTGGAGGAACAGGGCCCCGCCGTGGATGTGGGCGAAACTGGACCCCCGCCCCCAGTCCACTCCAAGCCCCTAAGCCTCGCTGGCCGCCCCAGTGGTCCGGAGCCCAGGCCTCCAGCCCGAGTAGAGACTCTGAGGGAAGAGGCGCCCACAGACTTACGGGTGTTTGAGCTGAACTCGGACAGTGGGAAGTCTACACCCTCCAACAGCGGGAAGAAAGGTAGGTCTGAGGTTCAGCCCGGGGGGAAGGGCAGGCCGAATGAGAGGTGCCTGCTCGTCAGGGCCCCAGGAGTGGATCTTTGTGTGCGATACTGCTGGCAGCCACTAGGGGTTGAGTCCACCGAGTTTTATCAACTCCAAGACGCACGTGTTCTCTGAAAGGAGGACGTGCCCTGCATAGGAGGGGTCCTCAAGTCAGCAGAATAAGTTCTGCGTGGTCCGGCGCTAAATACCTCCTGTGGCATTCAGTTTCTCATCCCACGACCCAAGGGGTCAGTGTCGTCCTCATTTTGAAGGTGAAGTAGGCCCAGACACGTTAAGTAGCTTGCTCAAATCCACAGGGCCAGGACGTGGCAAACCCAGATTCAGACCCAGGGCTGTCTGACCACAAGGCGTGGCCCAAACACCATGGGCCAACCGCGACCCAAGCTGGGAACCCTGCGACCCTGCTGGCCAGGGGCATCTCCCCGCCTGACCTTGGGAAGCCTTGGCCTTGGCTAGCTCCTGCGAAGTGCTCTGTTTGCGGTGATGAGCTCGGTGCCTTCTCCGTGTCCTGGGGTTTCAGACCAGAGACTCTGAGTTTGTGTTGGAGGACAACCTCTCCGGCTCCAGGAGTTAAAGGCCAAGATGGCCCTGCTGGCGCCTCGTTAGCCCCATCCAGTTACCTCTTCAGCAGAGCTGGTTGGCCAGCCCTCCCACCCTTGCCCATTCACACGGTCCAGACCCTGCCACAGCCACGCAGCTTGCCCTGTGAGCGAGGCCTGACCTGCTGGTGCCGTGGCACACGGTTGGCACCGTGGCTGGGAAACAGGCCTCCCCACCACCCTCCTCGGTGGAAACCACCTGGTCCCGCGCTCTCCTGGCTGTCATTCAGTGAGGTCACCCATTGAGCTCCTGCCTGCCCTTTATGAGACACTGAGGGGGGAGGGGCGGGAGCTGCAGTCTTTGTGATGAAGCTGAAGCAGGAGGGGCAGGTTGTCACCTGAGGACCTCAGAGAAAGGAATCCCTGGGCCTTGGTGGCATTTCAGCCAGGAGACAGCCTAAGAGACAAGAGACGTGCAGAGCTGGGCAGGTGTAGGCACAGCGGTCCAGGCTGCAGGGGACATGGGAGCGTGTCCGAGGGGTCGGTGACCAAAGCCCCTTCTCTGTTGGTGTCTCAGGAGGGGAAGGTGCGGGGAGGAGGGGTGGGTTAGCTGAGAAACAGAACTGAAGAGTTTAAAATCGTGAGCTGGCCTCCGGAGGTCAGTCTGGTGCTGTGCAGCCAGAGCGTGCAGCCCAGAGCTCAGAGTCTGACCCCAACTCATTCATGAGCCCTGTAGCTCTAGAAAAGTTGCGGATCTTCCCTAAGCCGTGTGCTCTGCGCCTAGGATAATTGTTTCGGGATAGATGCTCAGTCGGGGAGGAGTTGAGGTGAGCCCTCCGGGGGGGAAGTGACAGTGAGAGGAAACCACTCTGAGCACATCCCGTGGGACTGGGTCCAGGCTCGGTCCTCCATGAGAGCTGCATGGTTTCCTGTGTTTCTACTGGCAGGGTCGGGCCAGGCAACCGCCCAGGACGTGTTTAGTGTAGAAATAGTCCCGTCGTTCTTCAGGGATGAAGGGTTAGTGACGACCTGCCAGGTGTGGGGGTGTGGCAGTGGCCTAGGTGGTGGCCCTGGGTTTCCAGCGACTCTGGCCAGCACTGTGGTACTGGCCCGGCCACGTTTAGTTGTGCAGATGCAGGCACAGAGCAGGGGAGGGACTAGGTTTGACTGGGGCTCCTGTTTGGCTGGGCGAAATCAACTGAAAGAAGAGAAAGGGCACGTATTTGCAAGAAGTGACCGGCGTGGTGGCTCATGGCATCCATGCGGAGTGAGGGAGCGCACGGGACAGCCAAGCACGCAACAATAGGTTCCACTGGAGTTGGGCTACAAAGAGGCCGTCCAACCATTTTGTAGTGGTTGGAGGCTCACGGTTATTGGGAAGTATGGTGCGAGGTCTTAACCACTCCACCACACTGCCCCTGCATTTGGCTGCCGTGTGGTTTGGAAGCAGCTGCAGTGAGTGAGCTGGGGAAGCCAGGGTCACAGCCGGCTGGGACGTAGGAACAGAGTCAGGGAGGTGCCTCTTAAAAGGCACCTTCTTCTGTGCCACCCCCTAGGATGGCAGGCTCAACTCTGGGTACAGCCAAGTCTCTCCGGGTGGCCTTGTCACTCAGTGTCCCAGGATCCCAGGGTGATCCCGGCAATCACAGAACTGCTTCCCCCATGTTTTATACCAGAACCCACCTGAACCACCCTGCCTAGCTTCTCTCCCAGCAGGAGGGGAGGGAAGATGGGGGTAGGCCTGTGAGCAAAAGGAGCCTGGGGCTCAAGACCCCACTTCTCCATAGACTGGGCCTGGAGCAGTGTTGGCCTTCACTTCTTACCTGGGGGAGCAGAAGGCCAGTCATACAGCACAGAGTGAGCTGTGAGGTGCGCAGTCTCCTGGAAAGTGCCCTTAAGAACGAAGACCAGTACGGCCTTCTGCAGCCTCACCTTGTTGCTGGGTCAGCTCTCCACCACGCGACAGCGCAGTGGGGCTCTCTCAGTGTTCCGCTCAACAGGACAGGGTGGGGAAGAGGCAGGTGGCAGAGAAAGTCCAGACTCACGTCTCGGTCTGCCACTTGAAGCCTCCCCTTCGGCACCCGTGAATTGGGATCGTTAGTACCACCCAGAGGGTGGACGTGAAGTGCTCTGGACGTGTTGGCTGGAGCTCTGTTTTCTCGTCCCGAAAGGGTCTGCCCTCCCATTTAAGTCCTTGATGCAACCTGAGGTTAGAGAGCACTGTCACGGCCACAGCCAGAGCTCTGAAGCGAGCCTAGCTTCTAACCCGCGAGACAGCTGCACTGACAGCCTGGTGCATGTCTCCACAGTGTCCTGACGGCACAGGGAGACGAGATGCAGGGTCAGAAATGGGTCCGGGGTGCAGGCGTGCCGATTGTGGGACCAGGTGCAGAATGACCTGAGTCTGAGACGAGGTGTTGAGATGGACGCTCCTTCAGTTCCTGTCCATGGTGAATCTGTGTAACAGGCATTTTTCTAACACTGCTCTGTCTCAGACTGCAGGCCCAGGTCTACACAGATCACTCGGGTGCTGTCTGTAATGCAGAGTCCCAGACTACCATAGTCTAGCTGAATCTCACTCGGGGATGAGTAGGGGCCAGGTGGGAACCTGCTTTCTGATCAGCAACTCTAGGGGTTATTTCCAAAGAAGTTGCTTCTCATCCTTCCTCTATAAATAGAATGCAGCCGAGACCTGCCATGGTGACACAGTGGTGAAGAGGCATTTGACCCTGTCGTCTGGCTGCAAGACTACTGTCCATACTGCAGCTAGCAAGGAGGCGGGAGAGAGCAGTACGAGACGCCTTGTGAACATGGCGGCGGGGCTCAGAGCCACTCTCTGGCCTGAGCACCTGGGCAGGAGCTGGGGGGGGGGGGAGAGGAAACAGGTGTTTACCATCATGCTTTGAAGAATCAGGAACTTGGGAACCAGCAGTTAGCGTAATGGCTATGTCACTGGACTCCCACATAGTCGACCGCAGTTCGCGTCCCAGACTGGTGGCTTAAAACTCAAGCCAGGCGCGTGCGCGTGCGTGTCCAAGATCCCAAGAGGAGAATGGAGGAGAAGGGATTGCGGCGTGACCATCCCCTCTGGGGGGTGATTTCTCGCTTTCTCTCTGTCTGGTGAGCGCACGCGCCCTATAGCGAAAACCTCTCA